ATTCTACTCCTGAATGATTAAAAAGTATCAGCTAAGCCTTTAAAGTCTGAGGTTGAATACTGGGGAGGAAGCTATCCTCTTACTTGCTAATGAGGATGGGAGAAAGGTTCAACTTGTCAGAGAAACTTATACTTCTTGCCATATTATATTGAAATAAAAAGCAGAGGGGTTGCCCCCCGCCCCCCTCCCCGCCCAGCAACATCAGAGAGTTTAAGCTGAACTTAAATTCAAATAGCAATACAAATCTCGGTGGGTCTAAATATAAACATATCTCTTCAAATAAATTGTAAAGCTTTCTGAGGACATGGATTATTTTTCTTCTTTCTAGATCCTAAGCAAGGCTTTGCCCACCACTGATAATCAGTACGTTAGTTGATGCCGATAGATTTTCCAGTCTAAACATAAATAAAAAAAGAAAATAAAGGAACATTGTCATTCACTTGTTTTAGGCATTTTACCGAGTACCTAGGATAGCTCAAAGTTATTAATAAGCTGAAAAAGTACCTGCTTATGTGTGACTTGCAGCCGAAAGATGAGATGAACTAAGTCTGGAGGGTCATATTCATGTGAAATCAAACGGACCGCGGAAGCCAGAAATTAAAGTGAACCTTATTTTGCAAAAAAGTTAAAACGGTAAATATAGTTAACTCCACTTGTTAAAAGATAAAACCTCAAAATTTCAGTTTCCTCTGCAAAATGAGTTGGAGGGGAAAGGGGTTGAACCAGGCAATGCTTTTGCGAGCCTTTCAGCACTGACATCCTGGGATATTACACGGGGTTCAAGACTTCAGCTTGGGAGTAAAAGGCTGCTAAACTTCGTTCGTTTGCTTTATGTACTTTAATCCATTATTTTAGTCTCCTCCCACCCCCCCACCTCGCCTCATTCTCCCCACCTCTCCCTTCGTTCTCTTCCCAATCACCCGCTCTTTTTTTGACTGTAGGATTCCTCCGGAGGGTACCTACAACTTAACGTGGGGCCCGAGGAGATACCCAATAAATGTTTGCTGAATGAACGAATACCTGTGGGCTTAGGTTCTACCGCGCTTACTCATAAGCACCTCCAGGGTCAGCTCAGGGCCCTTGTAGAGGTCAAGCTCACTCGTTCCCTACTCGCCGGCACTTTCCTCCTCCAATAACCACTTCTAAACTGGTGCCCGAGCAGTTATTCGCTGCAGTGGTTTTCACTGCTGGTGGACTAACTTGACTTGTTCTAATGATCTGGGGCAGGCATATGCAGTCAGACTCAGGGCCGAGCTGGTACTGAACCTGGGGAGTGCCAGGCATTGACGTAAAAGAGAACCAGTTAATCTTTGAGGAGCAGAGAGAGGGCGGGAACCCTCCGGTAGCTACGCGGTCCGCCGTAAAACCTCTCCTCTACTTCCTTTCACTGTATCTTGTTGCCAGAGCAACCGCAAGCGTCACTAACGTGACTGCAAAAATAGGGTAGAAAGAGTACACGTCTCCTGCTCTGACGGAAGATCTATTGCGCAGGCGCATTAGCTGTACTGGCGGTAGTTCTGTCAGTCGATGTATTCTGCGTCTGCGCATTGGTTGTTTCGCGCTTTGGCCCACCCTACGCCTGCGCAAATTGGCCAATCGGGGCGGCTGGAGTTGGGTTACAGCGTTGCGCACGCG